TGCCTCCACCACGGCCACCACGGCCACCATTGCCACCGCCACCATGGCCACTGCCACCTCCACCACTGCAACTGCCAGCACGGCCACCACGGCCACCACCACGGCCACCACAGCCACCGCCACGGCCACCACGGCCAAAACGGTCACCGCCACCACGGCTACTGCCACCTCCACCACTGCAACTGCCACCACGGCCACCGCCACCACTGCCATCATGGCCACCACGACTGCCATTACCACCAACAATACCGCTACTACAACTGCCACCACCAGTACCACCGCTGCCACCACTGCCACCACTGGCATGACGACCGCCACTGCCATTTCCACCGCCGCCACCACTACCAAACCACCAGCGACAGAACCATGGACCTGGCCAGGAAGCAGTCAGGTGGTGACACGGTCCCCCTTGGGCAGCACTACAGCAGTGCCTTTCCTCTCAACAGGACCAAAATCCCCAAGAACATCCCCAAACCCCAGCCACACGGACACGCTCGAGACATCGGCCACAAGGAGCCCCACGTCTCCTCCAGGCTCCACAAAGCCCACCACCCTGGGCAGGGCCACAACCCCGCAGGGGACCACAGCGGGCACCTCTACAGCTCGCCCCACCGCAAGGACGCCCGTGGGCACAGCAGGCACTGCCTCCACAAACACGCCGCCCGCCTCACACGGCAGCGTGAGCACACCGAGGGCAGAGACCCCGCAGAGAACGCTGTCCTCCACCGAGGCCACCACCAGCCAGGGCACGACCGCCTGCCAACCCAAGTGTGAGTGGACCGAATGGTTCGATGTGGACTTCCCCACCTCAGGGGTCACAGGTGGAGACATGGAGACCTACGACAACATCAGGGCCGCCGGCGGCAACATGTGCCGGGAGCCACAGAAGATCGAGTGCCGGGCGGAGAGCTACCCCGAGGTGAGCATCGACCAGATCGGGCAGGTGGTCAGCTGCAGCCTGCAGGCCGGGCTGGTGTGCAGGAACCGGGACCAGAAGGGGCACTTCAACATGTGCTTCAACTACAACGTGCGCCTGCTCTGTTGTGACGACACACGTCACTGCCCCACCTCTGCCCAGGCCCCGCCCACGACCGCTCAGGGCGCCTCCTCCCGGGCCACCCGCACGGAGCCCCTGCGGACCTCCCCCACGGCGACCCCCCCAGGGTCACCGACCATAGGCCCCACCTCGGGGACCAGCCTGCCCTCCACCACACTGAAGCCCAGCTCCAGCTCGCCCACCGCGACCGCCGTGACCACGGGGGCCTGCACGCCGCGGTGCGTGTGGACAGACTGGTTCGACGTGTCCCTCCCCATGCCTGGCGCCGACGGTGGGGAATTTGAGACCTACGCCAACATCCGGGCGGCCGGCAGGCCCATGTGCGAGCGGCCAGTGGCCCTGGAGTGCCGGGCCGAGCTGCTGCCCGACGTCCCCCTGCAGCAGCTGGGCCAGGTGGTGCTGTGCAGGCTGCAGGACGGCCTGGTGTGCCGGAACCGGGACCAGCACGGCCAGTTCAAGATGTGCCTCAACTACCAAATCCGTGTGCTCTGCTGCGACTTTGGCCACTGCCCCCGCACCCCAGCGACCACCACGGTGACCTCCCCAAGGACGGGCCCGGGGCTGGCCTCCACCACGGCCCTCGGCGCCCCCACCCCCAGCACGGCACACACCACAGCGAGCTCCCAGTGCCAGCCCGCCTGCCGCTGGACTGACTGGCTGGACAGTGACCGGCCCCTGCCCGGCCGCTACGGGGGCGACGTGGAGACCTACTACCACATCCAGGACGCGGGCGGCCAGCTGTGCGCAGAGCCGGACCGCGTCGAGTGCGAGGCCGTCCTCTTCCCAGGAGTGCCCCTCGAGCGGCTGGGCCAGGTGCTGCAGTGTGACGCGCACTACGGGCTCATCTGCAGGAACAGCCGGCAGTGGGGAGGCCAGACCTGCCTCAACTACCACGTCCGGGTGCGCTGCTGTGACGACTTCAGCCACTGCGCCGGCACCGCCAGCACCACGGCCCGTGCCACCGGCACCGGCTCGGGACGGCAGTCATCAGGAGGGACGAGACTTTGGACAACCACCACCACCCAGACTCTCCTGTCCTCCCCTGGGACCACCCAGAGAGTCACCACCATCACCAGGGAGACAAGACCCTCCTACACTGGGACAACCAAGGGAATCGCCAGCCTCACCTCTGAGACAGCAACCTCTATTCCGGGCACCACCAAGATGGTCACCACCTCAAGAACTGAGACAGGACCCAGCTCCCCTGGGACCACCCCGAGTGTTACAACTCTGACCTCTGAGACAGGAATCTCCCCCACGGGGACCACCCAGAGGGGCACCTCCACCACCTCTGAGACAGGACCCTCCTCCCCCGGGACCACCGTGAGGATCACTAGCCTCACCTCTGAAACAGGACCCTCTTCCCCTGGGACCACCCAGAGTGTCACCACCCTCACCTCTGAGACAGGACCCTCCTCTCCCAGGACCACAAAGAGGGTCACAACTCCGACCTCTGAGACAGGACCCTCTTCCCCTGGGCCCACCCACAGGGGCACCACCACCACCTCTGAGACTCTGCCCTCCTCTCCTGAGACAACAGGAGGACTCACCAGCATCACCTCTGAGACAGGAACCTCTATTCCTGGGACCACTAAGACGGTCACCACCCCGAGAACTGAGACAGGACCCTCCTCTCCCGGGACCACCGAGAGGCTCAACAACCT